AGGTGAAATGAGGTAAGGAGAGGTGACGTGAGGTGAGGAGAGGAGAAGTGAGGTAAGGTGTTGAGAGGTGAGGTGAAATGAGGTAAGGAGAGGTGACGTGAGGTGAGGAGAGGTGAGGAGAGGAGAAGTGAGGTAAGGTGAGGTGAGGTGAGGTCGACCCCAGGTGTGTTGTGGTAAGGTTGTGGTCGTATCATCCTTGTTAACTTTACTGTAACAAATAAACAAACCTGGACAGCTAACCTCCAGCTAATTATTATTCGTGTAGAAATATAATTAGTGTGTATGTGTGTGTGTGTTTGTGTGTGTGTGTGGCTCAATTATAAGGTAAAAAACAACATTGAATATCTTCTTTTTACACACTCACGCACACACACACACACACTCACGCACACACAAACACACACACACACACACACACACACACTTTAAAAATCCTACCAAACTCATTTCTTCATTTCACAGGTAAAACCTTATTACCTGGACGAGCGTGTGTAGATAATTCAGGTATTGGTGCAGGTATGAGAGGCAGACTATTGCGTTAACCAGGACGCAAGTTTGTCTGGGCTGATGGAACTAAGGTGATTATCACTCTGTTGACATACGCGGCTGGGAGAGAGGAGGTGAGATAACTGGTGATAACAGGTGGAGGTGAGATAACTGGTGATAACAGGTGGAGGTGAGATAACTGGTGATAACAGGTGGAGGTGAGATAACTAGTGATAACAGGTGGAGGTGAGATAACTGGTGATAACAGGTGGAGGTGAGATAACTGGTGATAACAGGTGGAGGTGAGATAACTGGTGATAACAGGTGGAGGTGAGATAACTGGTGATAAAAGGTGGAGGTGAGATAACTGGTGATAACAGGTGGAGGTGAGATAACTGGTGATAACAGGTGGAGGTGAGATAACTGGTGATAACAGGTGGAGGTGAAATAACTGGTTATAACAGGAAGAGGGAGAAAGATAACATGATGATAACAGGAAGAAGAATGGAACTGAGATAACTGTGTATTTGTTTGTTTGTTACTTTATTACATTTGTTTGTTTGTTTCTGTTATTATAGTTTATTTCTTTCCTTCTGTTAATTTATTCTATTTCTGTTTTATTTGTTTGTTTCTTTTCCTAATTTTATTTCTTTGTCACTTTAATTTTACCTTGTGTTTGTTTGTTGTTTGTTTGTTTGTTGTGTTTGTTTGTTTGTTTGTCTTTATTTTGTCTACTTTTATTTGTTTTCTCTTTTTTATTTATTTATTTATTTTATTTTTTTATTTATTTTTGTTACTTTATCGGACAAAATTCTTTAACTGGTGAAGTAATTTCGAACATTTTTTTCTTCTTATTTGTTACTCGTGAGTAAGTTAGTCAATTATAAAGTTTTGCAGGTGCCAGATCTCACTCCCTGCCAGGCCTTATTAAGAGAGAGAGAGAGAGAGAGAGAGAGTGGAGGCGAAAATGTGGATGGAGGAGGAAGGAAGAGGGAGGGAGGGAGGGGGAGGAATGATTGAAGGGACGGGAGGGAGGGAGAGAGAGAATGAATGGGGATGATGGATGAAGGAAGAGAGGGAGGAAGAAAATGAGGGAGCGTGAGGGAAAACTAGGTTAAAGGAGGTCACTGAATAACAAAGGGAGGGACTGACCTGTATGAGGTCATCTTAGAGGGGAGATACGGGGTCAAATTAGGTCACTGAACGAGGGGACACAGGTTAAATTAGATCACTTGGTAGGAGGATTTGGGCTTAAACCAGGTCATTCCTTTGTCTATGAGGGTCAAATGAGGTTAATTAGCTATGAGTAGGAACTAAGGGAACGTTGGGTGCAAACTAGGTCATTCATTCGTCTCTGAGGTGTCCTGCGGAAGGTCCTAATTGATCAGGAAGGGATCCAGGTGCCTTAATTACCTGGGGCAAGTTCAATACACGTCCTCCACGTAGATCATCAGTGAGTTACTACGCTGGAGGGAATCACCTGGAGATCAGACACACCCAAGCTTATTTCACCTGGTAATTAAATACTCAAATGCTAAACAACTTTTAATTTTAAGTAAAAAAAAATACTTCCAGCAACAGGAAATTGTAACTAATATCGCGAGCATTTCCCAGATCCTCTCAGTGAGGTGGCGAAGGGTCGTTCAGAGACTCTATTGAGCCTTTTAGAGCCCCCCCTGAGGCTCTAAATGGGCTCTAAGATCCTAGGTGGAGTTTGTGTAAGAGGTAGGGGAGGGAGTGTGTAGGTGAGTCTTCAGGGGCCAGGTGAATGTTAGGTGATTAGGGCAATAGGTGTGTGTGTCAGAGAGAGGGGAGAGAGGAAGGGGAGATAGAGAGTGATGGAGAGTGAGAAGGAGGGAGAGTGAAGGGAGATAGAGAATGATGGAGAGAGGAGAGAGGGAAGGGGAGATGTAGAGGAGGAGAAAGGGAAGGAGGGAGAGAGGAAGGGGGAGAGAGAATGATGGAGAGTGGGAAGGAGGGAGAGGAAGGGAGATGGAGAGTGATGGAGAGTGGGAAGGAGGGGAGAGAGGAAGGGGAGATAGGAGAATGATGGGAGAGGGAAGGAGGGAGAGAGGAAGGGGGAGATAGAGAGTGATGGAGAGGAAGGAGGGAGAGGAGGAAGGGGAGATAGAGAGTGATGGGAGAAGGGAAGGAGGGAGAGAGGAAGGAGGGAGAGTGATGGAGAGGGAAGGAGGAGAGGAAGGGGAGATGGAGAGTGATGGAGAGGGAAGGGAGGGAGAGAGGAAGGGGAGAGGAGAGTGATGGAGAGGGGAAGGAGGGAGAGAGGAAGGAGATAGAGGAGTTAGGGGAGGAGAGTGGGAAGGAGGGAGAGAGGAAGGGGGGAGGGAGGAGAGTGATGGAGAGGGAAGGAGGGAGAGAGGAAGGGGGAGATAGGAGAGTGATGGAGAGGAAGGAGGGAGAGAGGAAGGGGAGATAGAGGGAGGATGAGAGGGGAAAGAGGGAGAGAGGAAGCAGAGATGGAGAAAGAGGGAGAGTGGGAAGGGAGGGAGAGAGGAAGGGAGAGGAGAGGATGGAGAGGGGAAGGAGGGAGGAGAGGAAGGGGGAGATAGGAGAGATGGAGAGTGGGAAGGAGGGAGAGAGGAAGGGGGAGATAGGAGAGTGATGGGAGAGGAAAGGAGGGGAGAGAGGAAGGGGGAGAGAGAGAATGTGATGGAGAGTGAGAAGGAGGAGAGAAAGAGGAAGGGGGAGATGGGGAGAGGATGGAGAGTGGGAAGGAGGGAGAGTATGTGAGATAGAGAGGATGGAGAGTGGGAAGGAGGGAGAGAGGGGGAGATAGAGGAGGAGGAGAGGGAAGGAGGGAGAGAGGAAGGGGAGATAGAGAGTGATGGAGAGTGGGAAGGAGGGAGAGAGGAAGGGGGAGATAGAGAATGGAAGAGAGAGGGGGAGAGGACGAAATTGGAGGGAGATAGAGAGTGGGAGGGAGGGAGGGAGGGAGGGACGAAAGAAAGTGAGAGATAGAGGATGGGGGAGAGAGAGGGATAGGGACGGAGGGAGAAAAGAAGCGAGACAATAAGAGAGGAAGAAAGAGAAGGATAGAGAGTTAGAGTAGACAGACAGACAGACAGACTAACCAATTACCCACAATCAGGAACCATTTAGCCTTACCTGTTAACTATCAATTAACTCAGGTTATAAAAAAGTTCTCTTAATAACCCCTAATTATCTCTGATGGTTCAATTAGGAATGAATAATGTTAACCAATAATTAAAACCGGGATGAGAAAAAAGTCCTAATGGTTTAAACAGGGACAGGACATTGACCAAACCTTAGTAGGGGTATTAAGGGTTAGATGAAAGGTCGGGGGGCTAGATGATGGCAGAGGTTAGGATGGATTAACTTAACTAACCTCTGTTGATCCCTGGTAAGACATAACACCTGGGAGGAATAGCCAAAACACCTTGACGATAATATTTAGTGTGGTGGGACGTGAGCACCAACCCTCAGACCCTCAGACGTAGGTTTAATAACAGACTGGATAACTCAGCTGATGATAAAATATTAATTTCTTCTATTCTATGTCTCATTTTTTTTAACTCTGAATAAATATTTACTTTTTGAAATTGTTTGATGTAAAACGAATATCCGGTTCGTGTAAAGACTTACAACTTAAAACAACACGAATTTATTACCTTGGGTATATTTAACAGATATTTAACACCAACTAGTAAATATTATCAACACAAACAACATACGATTTTAACAGCATAAGAAGCTAGACGTTTTTTTTTTATATATATTCACAAAAAATTCATAATTCGACCTTTATATACTGACTAAAGGAACTCACTCTCGCTTTTTTGAGAACCACCATGAAAATTATATGAGAATTTCTAAACTGTGCTGTGTTTGGGGGGCTGCAGGGGGTGGGGGAGCGGAGCCATTCAGTAATAGTAGTGAGTGAAGGAGAGCAACACGGGGCCTTTGAGGTATTCCTGACTCGAGGCGTCTTGGAGGGTTGGGGCTGGGAGGGTCGTCTTAGGGGGGAGCGGGCCGGGCAGATGGAGGAGGAGTCGGGGGTGGGTTGGTAGGGGTCTTGGGGAGGAATGTTGAGGGTCGATGGGGGGTGGGGTCATGTTGGGGGAGGAGTGGGGGTTCTTCTGAGGGGGGGGGGGTCGTCGGAAGGTGGTGGGTGGTTGGGGTGGGGGTCGGCTGCCACCCCAGCAGGTATACGTGGCTCACTTGTCTTGAATCATTTATCTTATTTATTCTCATTCATTTGGGAGTCTTTTGACGTATTCGGGTACAGGTGTAGGTACAGGTGTAGGTACAGGTGTAGGTGTAGGTAGAGGTACACAGGTAAGGATAGTTTCAGGTACACGGGTGTAGATAGGGGTACAGGTGCACAGGTGGGGATAGTTACAGGTACAGGTGCACATCCTTCCATCGTCCCTAAGATAACAGGATAACATCCTTCCATCGTCCCTAAGATAACAGGATAACATCCTTCCATCGTCCCTAAGATAACAGGATAACATCCTTCCATCGACCCTAAGATAAGAGGCATCACCGTAACATCAGTAGATCAGAGAGGTAACCCCACGGGTGCCCCAACAAGGCCATTACCGAGCGCCTCCCCCAATTACCGCGGGAGGCAGACCGTCACCTCGAGGTAGGTCTATCTGGGGAGATAATGAGGAACCTGTCAAGATGTGTCAGGGGTTTTGGGGGCTGTTTTGGGGTGATTTTTGGGGTGTCATGTGTTGTCCTGTGTGTGTTTGTCGTAGGAAACACACACACACACACACACACACACACACACACACACACACACACACACACACACACACACACACACACACACACCCTTCCTCATCACCCTTAATAACATTCTTAATCTGATTTATAAATCCGTATCATTACCTCCATCTCCTTCTCCTCTTCCTCTTCCTCCTCCTTCTCCCCCTCTTCTTCCCTCTCTCTTACCTCTTCTATTTATTGTAGGGTCAGCCAATCGGTTCCCCCATCTCCTCAAATTATCACTGCCTACGTCACCTCCCATCTCTTCCCATCTTTATCACTCCTATTAACCATTCATCTCTATTCCCTACACTCTTTATGACTTCTCGGATCTTTGCTTCCTCCTCTGTTATTCTCCCTTCCTCTATTCTTCTCTTTCTTACTAATTTATCCCTGTCTCCTGTATCCCCCCCCCTACACATTACCCCCATCTAGGGATTTTATACGACCTACAGGGAATCTCTTGAGGAAATTACCCTAGTAAATAATCGTGTGTTTGTCCTTGTGTGGTGAGGGTAAAATTACATTCCTCTGTTGTGGTTGTTGTGGTTGTGTTGTGGTTGTATGGTTGTTGTTGTTGGTTGTGGTTGTGTGATTAGTGTGGTTTGTGTGATTGTTGTGGTTTGTGGTTGTGTGATTGTTGTGGTTTGTGTGATTGTTGTGGTTTGTGTTGTGGTTTGTGGTTGTGTACGTCTTCTTCTATTTACACTCGTCCTCCTCCCCATCTTTCTTATCCTCTTGTTCCTCCTCTTACACTTTCATCACTTCTTCTCCGTCTTCTTCCACTCCATCCTCCTCCTCCTCCTCATCTATCATCAGTCTACCTGGGCTTTTCATTAATATTTCAAGGTCCCTTTCAGTCTTCCTCTTCTCTCTTCTCTTCCCTCCATCTCTTTCAATTTCTTCTCCTCCTTCTCTCCCCTCTCTCTCGTCTTGCTAATCCTTTTCCTTGTTCCCTTCCCTCCCCCCTCCTCTCTTCCATTTCCTCCACCCTCTTTCCTTCTCTTCCACTCCTGTTCCACCTTCTCCCTCCCTCTCTCCTTCCTTCTCAACTCCCCTTCCTCCCTCCCTCTCTCTTCTACCTGTCTCCTTCCCTACCCCTTCCCTCCAAACCTTCTCTCTCTCTCCCTCTCCTCTCTTTCCACCCCTTCCCTCTCTCTCCCTCTCCTCTCTTTCCACCCCTTCTCTCTCTCTCCCTCTCCTCTCTTTCCACCCCTTCCCTTCCTCTAGCTTTCCAGCTCCGGGTTCAAATCAGTTCAAGACTTGAGAATTAGCTCGCCGACCTACCTGTCCTTACCTGTAATTACCACAAACATGAATTCTGGGCCAGGTGGGGTCTGTTTTTCCCAACTGTCTGGTCATGGGGTTTATTGAGGTCACCGAGGTTGTGGGGTTAGGTTAGGTTAGGTTAGGTTAGGTTAGGTTAGGTTAGGTTGTTTGAGATAAGCTTCTAACCTTACCTGTTCTCTATGAATATTTGATTGGCTGTAATGTCTAGGTAATGATTATGTGTACATGTATAAATACCTGTATACATGTGTATGTGTGTGCTGTAGTTTGTCTCACACATACACACACACACACACACACACACACACACACACACACACACACACAAGGTTTCTCGCCGCTATGAATCTGGCAACACTCGAGTCTCCTGAGTTTATCGTGAGGCAATTAGCATGACGGTAATTAAGAGGTTTAATGAGGTAGTTGACGACCCTAGACACCTGGGCTAATGGAGTTTATATAAAGTTTATTACTATTATAGTTTTAACACCTACGCTATCGATCCAACCCACACCTTCTACAGAACCCACACCCACAGAACCCACACCTCCTACACAACCCACACCCACACAACCCACACCCACACAACCCACACCCACACACCCTCACCCACACACCCACATGAACCTGGGTTTTAGTGAGACATCAACTGGGTGACTGGCGGAGGTGACAAATGACCTCACCCAAGACACAGAAACTCGGGTCAGCCACCTAAAAAAATTTTCCTTCCGCGATGGTGTCAGGAAGTGAGATATTTCCTCATGAAGATCTATCTGAGAGTGGGTGGGCGGGTGGGTGGGTGGGTGAGTAGGTGGGTGAGCGAGTGGGTGATTGAGTTTGTTAGTTAGTCGTGATTTATTTCATAGACGGGATTAATGAAGGTTGAAATTAGTGATTTTTTTTTCTCTGAGGTATTACTCGTTGGGAGGGGAAATTTAGTCTCTCTCTCTCTCTCTCTCTCTCTCTCTCTCTCTCTCTCTCTCTCTCATTCTCACGGCAGTGATCCATGACCAGAGAAAGTATCAAGGACAAGAAGAAACTTTTCCTCCTGCTGGGGTCCTGGGGTCCTGGGGTCCTGGGGTGCTCGAGCCTGGGGTTAATATTGCGATCGCGGGGAAGAGAATTCACGAAACTGCTCCGTCACTTTCCAATTTCGGAGACAGTCTTTATCACTGTCCAATGGCTGAGAGGGAGAGGAGGGGAGGGGGAGGGGTGAGGAGGGCTGGTGGGAGGGGAGGGGGAGGATAGGGGGAGGGATGGAGGACTGGGAAAGGAGAGGGGAGTGGGGGAGGATGGAGTGGGGCTGATAGAGGGGTGAAGTGGTGCAGGGGTATGATTGGGGCTGCATGATTTGAGTGGGAGGAGAGGAGGGGGGGCTAGAGGGGGAGGGGTAAGAGAGGAGGGTGGACCTGGGAGGGGTGTCAGGTGTTACTCTCGGGGTAATTTCTCTTCCATCGGCAAGTTAGTGACACTCTGGGGTCATGATTGAGGTGAGGGTCGTCTGCTCACCTAACTTAACCTCACTTAATTTTATCTTGTCTTATTTAACCTAACCTAACCCAACATCAGTGAAAACTACTGATAGAAAGACACGAATAGAAATGAATTCCCCATGTACGTTTTTCTCATGTACGTATATCCTATGTATGTAATTCTCAGGTACGTATTTCCTATGTACGTATTTCTCATGTACGTATTTCTCATGTACGTATTTCTCATGTACGCATATCCTATGTACGTATTTCTCATGTACGTATTTCTCATGTACGCATTTCCTATGTACGTATTTCTCATGTTTCTCTTGGTCTTTCTCTTAGATGGACTCGGGTACTGAAGGAAGCTTTCGCCTTCTTTCATCTGGTGTTTTCTCAGGTGAGTTCTTTCTTGATGTAGCGCTTGTCTCTCTGTTCTCCTGTGATCACGTGTATGTGTCTTGTTTATGTTGGAGTCTACACACACACACACACACACACACACACACACACACACACACACACACACACACACACACACACACACACACCTACCTGCCCTAACTATCCACAAAACACAGGTGAGAAAATATAAACGACTCATTTAAGCATTTACATTTAACATAGAATATTTCTTATAAGTTCTACGATATATACAATAACTTTCTGCCTCACCCTGTAGAAAAAACTGTCCGCATCTGAAACTGTTTTTTTTTTTAATAATATTTATCTCTTAAACTTGACGGTATATATAAGGGTGACGATAAGGTGAGTATCTGTGGGTCTTAAGACATTATTTTCTGGTGAGAAGAAGATGAAGAGTGTAGAGCAAGTTGACAGTGATGGATGAAGGGGTGGGTGAAGCGGTGGGAGTGAAGCGGTGGGTGGAGTGGCGCTGGGAAGCAACACCAAGGAAGAAGAAGAATAGTCGGTGGAGGAGCTGGTGGGTGGGTGAGTGGGTGGGTGGGTGGAGTAGGTGGAGTGGGTAGCTGTGTGGAGTGGTGTGTGTGTGGGTGGAGTGGGTGGAGTGGCGCTGAGAGCAACACCAAGGAAGAAGAATAGTCAGTGGAGGAGCTGGTGGGTGGGTGAGTGGGTGCCAGGTGGGTGGTGGCTGTGTGGGTGGGTGTGTGTGTGGGTGGGTGTGTGGGTGGCGCTGAGAGCAACACCAAGGAAGAAGAATTAGTCCGGTGGAGGAGCCGGTGTGTGTGTGTGTGTGTGTGTGTGTGTGTGTGTGTGTGTGTGTGTGTGTGTGTGTGTGTGTGTGTGTGTCCATCAACTTAAACCTTTCGTCAACCCCAAAGACAGACAAACAAATACCTGAACAACAGACTCTCCAGCCATCAACAACCAGTAATGACTAAGATCCTCTCCCCAAACTACGCCTGCCTAACGTTCGCCAGGCATTATTCTCACCCTGGCGCTCTTTTCACGGCGCTGGTATAAAGTGTCAATATTATCACCTTCGTCACTCTTGAAATTGAGTTTATTAAAATGTGGCAGTAGTGTATCTCACCTCCTCTCCCTCCTTCCTCACCTTCTCTCCCTCCTTCCTCACCTCCTCTCCCTCCTTCCTCACCCTCTCCATCCTTCTCTACCTCTCCCTCCTTCTCTACCTCTCCCTCCTCCCTCCTCCTCTCCCTCCTTCTCTACCTCTCCTCCCTCCCTCCTCACCTTTCTCCCTCCTTCTCTCCCTCCTCCCTCCCCTCCTCTCCCTCCTCCCTCCTCCTCTCCCTCCTTCTCTACCTCTCCCCTTCTCTACCTCTCCCCCTTCCTCCTCTCCCTCCTTCCTCACCCTCTCCTCCTTCTCTCCTCCTCCCTCACCTCCTCTCCCTCCTTCCTCACCCTCTCCTCCTTCTCTACCTCTCCTCCTCCTCCCCTGTGATACTTTAAGCTCTATATAACTTTCCCTAAGTAAGTGAGGTAAGCTGAGATGTGTACAGTCTCTCTCTCTCTCTCTCTCTCTCTTTTTCTTTTTCTCTCTCTCTCTCTCTCTCTCTCTCTCTCTCTCTCTCTCTCTCTCTTCCCCTTGAAAACAAACTAAAAAAAAAAACAATAATAGGAAAAACTCTAAACCAACAACTTAATAAAACAAAAATAAAATAAAATAAACTCTCTCATTTCCACTATTATTACCTGCAGTTTTCCCCCTTCAAATTTCCCTTTCAATCACGACCACAGATGAATAGGTATCAATAGAGGGGAATATGATATGTTCTGTTCCCCTCACACACACACACACACACACACACACACACACGTCTACCAAAAATACCTCGCCCCATACACTTCAGTCTACCCTCAAGGCCAGGCATCCCATCCACTACAGTTGGTTGGACTCTTGGTACACACTGTAACAGGTTGACGGCAGGGTCAGCTACCAGTGTAAGGCTTTATGGCTTTCATCTGTTTTTTTATTTTTATTGTTATTTGTTTATTTGAGAAGAGGTGTTAGTGTTGTGATGTTTTGGTGTTGTGATGTTTTGGTGTTGTGATGTTTTTGGTGTTGTGGTGTTGTGATGTTTTGGTGTTGTGGTGTTTTGGTGTTGTGATGTTTTGGTGTTGTGGTGTTGTTGTGGTGTTGTGATGTTTTGGTTGTTGTGATGTTTTGGTGTTGTGGTGTTGTGATGTTTTTGGTGTTGTGGTGTTGTGATGTTTGGTGTTGTGGTGTTGTGATGTTTTGGTGTTGTGGTGTTGTGATGTTTTGGTGTTGTGATGTTTTGGTGTTGTGATGTTTTGGTGTTGTGGTGTTGTGATGTTTTTGGTGTTGTGGTGTTGTGATGTTTTGGTGTTGTGGTGTTGTGATGTTGTGTTGCTGTGATGTTGTGTTGCTCTTTTTCTTTATCACACAATCTCTCTCTCTCTCTCTCTCTCTCTCTCTCTCTCTCTCTCTCTGCCTTTAGAAGATATAGTCGACAACTTCCCGAGAGGAGAAGAAGGGGAGTGGAGGAGGGAAAGGTGAGGGAGGGGAGGAAGTGAGGGAGGGAGGCCAGACTAAAATCTTGGACAGTTCTTGCCTCCTGATGAGATTTGACTTAAGAGGACCTGAGTCACTGAGGCAAGAGTGTGTTGTATAAGTGAGTGTGAAGGAGGGGGGGAGGGCGTGAGAGTGTGGGAGAGAGGGAGGGGGCGTGAGGGTGGGAGAGAGGGGAGGGGGCGGGGGAGTGTGGGAGAGGGAGGGGGGTGAGGTGTGGAGGGCGGAGGTGGGGAGGGGGGGGAGGGGGCGGAGGGGTGGGGGGAGGGCGTGAGGTGTGGAGGGGGAGGGCGTGAGTGTGGGAGAGAGGGAGGAGGAGGCGTGAGATGAGGAGAGAGAGGAGAAGGAGAGAAGGAGGGAGGAGGAGGAGGAGAAAGAAAAGTGAGAGGAAGAGAGTGGTAGGGTAAAGGAAGGGAGAGAAAGGAGAAAGAGAGTGAGAAAAAAGGGGGGAGAGGAGACTAGGTGGGAGAGAGAGAGACAGCGAGATGGAGGTAGAGAAAGGGAGAGAGAGAAAGTGTGCAATACAAAAACAGTAAAATACCTAATATTGTGGGTGTTTAGCTAAATCACCTTAAGATTAGGCACCCCAGCTTAATAGTATTGTCACCCTAATAATTTACATTTTCTTTCAAAGTAATACTAGAGAAAATGGTAATGGGGTAACTCAAATAATATTTATACCATTGTTAACATAGGAAATTACTTATGAATGTAAAACCAAAACCAAAATAACAGATGAATACTTTTGGTTTATTTCGATTTCTACAGATGTTCAAATTACCTTCCATTATTCTCAGGACAGATGCCATTGCTTACAGCAGTACAGTTAGGCGTGGGACGATACAGACTAATAATAACAACTGTACTTACATGTAGGTATTGTGTAATTATGTATGATTATTGAAGGTATTTTTGAATGTTTGAGTTGATGGAAATAAACGTAAAAATATCTCAATTATCTTTCTATTCTTAAAGGAAAGAATATGAAAAGAATAGTTAAGTTTAATAAAAAATAAAATAAAATTGTATAGTCTATGCTTAAGAACCAAAGGGACATATATCACTCTTAAATATCTAATGGTTAACAAGTAAAGAATTCACCTGCCAAGACGAACACATAACGACCCTAGTTACAATGGCCAACACTCCACACGTCACCACTGTATCAACCACATGATGAACTTAACCACAGAATGAGTTTGAGGAGAAAGTAAATTATATATATAATTAAAATTAAGTAGATAGATATTTAACTACTATATATGAGTAGGTTTGTTGACATGTATACTTGTATCTATGCATAAAGTTTGTATACCTTCACTGTCTACCTGCATTGTTTGTGTACCTTCACTGTCTACCTGCATGTTTTGTGTACCTTCACTGTCTACCTGCATTGTTTATACCTTCACTGTCTACCTGCATTGTTTATATACTTCACTGTCTTCCTGCATTGTTTTGACCTTCACTGTCTACCTGCATTGTTTTGTATACCTTCACTGTCTACCTGCATTGTTTATACCTTCACTGTCTACTGCATTGTTTGTGTACCTTCACTGTCTACCTGCTGTTTATATACCTTCACTGTCTACCTGCATTGTTTGTATACCTTCACTGTCTACCTGCATTGTTTGTATACCTTCACTGTCTACCTGCATTGTTTGTATACCTTCACTGTCTGCATTGTTTGTGTACCTTCACTGTCTACCTGCATTGTTTATATACCTTCACTGTCTTCCTGCATTGTTTATATACCTTCACTGTCTACCTGCATTGTTTGTGTACCTTCACTGTCTACCTGCATTGTTTATATACCTTCACTGTCTACCTGCATTGTTTGTGTATCTTCACTGTCTATGCATTGTTTGTATACCTTCACTGTCTACCTGCATTGTTTGTGTACCTTCCTGTCTACCTGCATTGTTTGTGTACCTTCACTGTCTACCCATTGTTTGTATACCTTCACTGTCTACTATTGTTTATATACCTACACTGTCTACCTGCATTGTTTGTATACCTTCTCTGTCTACCTGCATTGTTTTTTATCCTTCACTGTCTACCTGCATTGTTTATATACCACTGTCTACCTGCATTGTTTGTATACCTTCACTGTCTACCTGCATTGTTTATATACCTTCACTGTCTACCTGCATTGTTTATATACCTTCACTGTCTACCTGCATTGTTTATATACCTACACTGTCTACCTGCATTGTTTATATACCTTCACTGTCTACCTGCATTGTTTATATACCTTCACTGTCTACCTGCATTGTTTGTATGCCTTCACTGTCTACCTGCATTGTTTATATACCTACACTGTCTACCTGCATTGTTTGTATACCTTCACTGTCTACCTGCATTGTTTATATACCTACACTGTCTACCTGCATTGTTTGTATACCTTCACTGTCTACCTGCATTGTTTATAT